TGTCAAAGTCAAATACATCAGAGAGCCAAAAATACAAATTTGCTGCGAGCCGAGGGCCGGACTGGTTCAATGTTTATTAACTCATTGCCTGCCAGACTATTTCAGAACAGGTACTCCCATATTGCCAGCAGTTTCTGATGATTTTTATAGATTTTTCAAGACCCACAGAATATTGTGTACTGTGACTATCTGAAATCCGAAACCAAATTCTGAAAGAATAGACGGTCTACTTTCATCAGCAAAAATTATTTTGTTTCTAGCTTGTAATCCCCAGTTGAGTAGAGGGAAGTTTTACTGAAATCACAAAAAAGCTGAGAAAAAAGAGGCACAACAAGTGCATCTAGCTGTTTTCAAACCATTCAGAGAGCGCTGCTGCCACCTGCTGGCTCGATTCAATATGCTCTCAAGATTATCCCCATACATATTAGATATAATAGACATCTGGGAACATGAAAATAGCGGAAAACGCAATTGACTTAATAGTGCGTCAATGGCAGGCAACGGGCCAGATCCGGCCCGCGGGCCTTGACTTTGACACATGTGATCCAGGGGATCCATCCATAGGGTGAAAAAATCTGACTTTATAGTTTTACTCCACATATTATACACTAATTATCAGAAGTTTGAACAAATATATTTTGTTTCATGATTATATATTGGCAGTAAAATGGTATATTATCTCTTGCATCTCCGCCAACCAAAAAAATCAGAATGACAATGCAGGCTTTTGGGCAGTACCTTGGTTGACCAACTAGTAGGGGTGGTAGCCTGGTATAAAAGCCGCTATGCCCTGTACTCTGCCGATTGCCTTACTTTCTGGTTCTGCCTTGACCCTGTCATTCTTTGGCTCCCAGGTAAATATTGTGAAATTTTTTTGTATGTCTTTCTGCAAGTTCCAAAGCATTTGTTTATTTAGTCCGTGATGTCGCTGTGCCCCGCGATGAAGCTCCAGGCCCACGTGTGCCCCCAGTCTAGCTGCCTCCCGGGAATGGTGTGGACCAGCCGTCATGGCCCCTCACCGAGCGTCGTTGCCCCGGTTTGGTAGTCTGGATGTAGCTGGGGAAGGCGGGTTGAGAGTTCTGGTGGAGCGCGGCTGCCTTTACATTTACACTATGGAGTTAGTGACTCTCTACGCTTCGGCTAAATGATCAAACACAAACATGTCCTACTTGTGATGCAAACTTACGATAACTGAACTGAAAATAAATGATGATGTAATGATAATATGCCTCTTATCAATGCGCCTTACCCGTGTTTCCTTATGGTTTTGGTTCAAAATGTCCTAGCTGAGCTAACTATGAACCACCCCATATCCACCTACGGTTACAAGAAGTTATCACATCAACACAATTAAAAGGAAGACACAATCAAACGGAAATGCTTTGTCCTCTGTGGAGATCTGCCATAATCATAGAACTGCCGCTGGATATCAAGTGTGGTGCGTTAAGCAAGTGTCTGCATCAGAGAACAGCCACCACTGCACACTGAAGGCAGCAGCAGTATGAAGTACACACAACAATGAGAGAAGGAGCAGCAAATCTCTACGGTGGTAAGAAACTGCTCATGGTGATTGCATGCCAATAAAACGATATTTCAAAGTTTGTAACCTTAACCAATAGCTACATATTACATTAAGCAACTGAAGCATTATTTTATTGTATGTCCATACTGAGCACTGCAGAGCAGAAACATGGTGCGATGGACAAAAATAAAAGAAGACGGTTACATGGCTGTCCAATCATGGACATAAGAACCGTTGGATGTGTGAAGCTGAGCAAGTGGAGATGGGTCTCAGGGCGCTGCTCTGCAGCGATCACTGCTCCTGACAGGTTGTCCCACATTTGTGGCGCCACTTGCATGTGAAATCCTGATCTTGTAAGACGTCTGGGAACACCCGGTGCCAGAGTAGGGCAAGTGCGGGTGTATAGTTCCAAACTGTTGATGTGTTGTTAGTCAAGACACGTCACCCACAGTGCCCGTGTCTGCAACAATGAATGATGAAAGGGCCAATGCCAGTAGGCAGCTGTGGCTACCATATTAGCTCCCAACCACTGTATGAAGAATGAATGAATGATGCCATGTAAAGCGTCTTAGAGGTTTATATAAAACTGCTGCAGTATAGTGGACTTGCAGAAAATACAGAAGACAATGACGCTACCACAAAAAAGTGTGGTCCATCTTTAACTTCCTCAACTTTTAGTGTTTGTTTTCCCATTGTTTAAGAAAACAATGAGGCCAAATGTCCAGGACACAGTTAATTGAGACATGTATCTATAACTATTGCTTTTATCTTTTACAAAAGTAATTGTACACATTTTAATAGAGTTGAATAAAAACTACAGTAGATTTTTGTTTAGCACCATTGCTAAACTCACAAACTGCGCAAAAAAAAGCGCAATCAAGCCTAAAATACCAAGCTCACTGAGCAGTGTCAAATTTCTTCACTTCTTCAATAAGAAAATTACATCCATCCGTGACAAATTGGAGGAAACCCCTCCTAGTGTTGGTTATGGACAGGCTGAAGTGGTGTACTTGATTTCCCTCTTGGACTCTTCGTGGTTACATCTTTTAAAGCCTCAACTTCCATTTTTGATGCCATCCTAGCTTGGCTCTTCAAAAACACACTTCCTTTGATAAGATGATAAGAGCCTATCTTAAATATAATTAACACATCTATACAATGTGGCTATGTCCCACAAGCTTTTAAAACCGCGGTAATCAAACCCCTTCTGAAGAAAACAAACAGTTGTAAGCTGTGGAGTTGCCACAGGACGCGTCATCGGCCTACTTCAGTAAAATGATGTATGCAGCAGTCAACTCGGGGACTGCTATCACACAGTAGCTGTGTGGTTTCACAGGAGCAGTTGACTGCTTAAAACAAACTTTACATGAAACTCTTACTCTTAAAACCCACATATCACAACACGGAACCATCAACATCTCGCCTAAAATTGCATCAAAAGTGACATTCGTGTCTTAATTTGTTCGTATTCTAACTTTTAAAGCAATTCACGGACAACACGTCCACCATCTTGGTTTGCTTCGGCCGCCGTGAAGCGCATGCGCAGGTTTGCGTTGCATCATTAACAGCTGACGGAGCTCATCTCGACGGGCAGACCAACTCGACAGAACACCTGTTCTATTTACAAGCCACAGACCGATCTCGAACCTTACTTTGATATCTAAAATCCTGGTAAAGTTTTCAATCAGGATTCAGAGCTCATCATAATACTGAAACAGAACTTGTCGAAGTCACAAATGACTTACAGGACCTCAGCGCTGCATTTGACACAATAGACCACAGCATTCTACTGCGGAGGCTGGAATGTGATATAGGTTTCAGAGGAGCAGCCCTTGGCTGATTTAAATCCTATTTATCGGTTTGGTATCACTTTGTCATTGTGAATCAAAACATGTCGCCTTAGTGGAATTCGATGTGCCACAGGGATTGGTGCTTGGACCGATTCTCTTCACACTCTATATGAGGCCGTTAGGAAACATTATTAAAAAGCATGGAATTAACTTCCACTGTTATGCAGATGACGCAAAGCTTTACCTATCAATGAAACCAAATCAGACAGATCAGTTGAAAAGGCTCAGTGCCTGCATAAAAGACCTAAAAACGTGGATGACTCTTAACTTTCTACTTCTTAACCCGGAGAAGACAGAAGTGATCCAACTCGGCCCAAATAGTCTGTGCGACTTCCTTGCCGACCATAATTACTCTCGGCAACGTCAGCATAGTACCCAGCAGCACTGTGAGGAATCTTGGAGTAGTTTTCGACAAAAGCTTCAAGGTTTATATAAACCAAGCATCTAAAACCGCATATTTCACCTTGTTGAACATCGCTAAAATCAGGAATATCCTTCCTAAAAAGACGCGGAAAAAACGGCCCATGCTTTGGTCACCTCAAGGCTTGGCTGTAGCACTTTGCTGGCTGCGTGCCCTGAAACCTTTTGGTGAGCTTCCAGCTCGTTCAAAATACAGCAACAAGGATCTTAAGAGGTACCAAAAGGAGGGAGTACATAACTCCGGTATTAAAATCACTCCACTGGCTTCCCATGGAGTACAGAATAACGTTTATAATCCTTCTTTTAACATACAAAGCCATAAATGGTTTGGCTCCTCATCTTCAAGACACGTTAGTGTCATTTCAACCAAACCGAGCACTGCGCTCGCAAAACGCCAGACGTCAAGTGGTTCCTAATGTCTCAAAAAGCATTGTCGGCGGCAGAGCATTTAGCTACCAAGCTCCTTTACTCTGGATTCAGTGTGTCTGTGTCAGTGGCATGGGTTTTCCGACCTTACATATAGTGCATGCAGTTTTGAGTTCTGTTTTTAGTGTGGGTTGCAGTGTTTTCTTTAAAAGACAATGTAGAGAGGAAGCCATGGACCACACCCCCACCACATGCCATTGGTGGTAATCAGCCAGGTTGATGACAAAACGGGAACAGGTGGGGAGAGACGACTGAAGGAGAGAAAAAGAAAGAAACGGAGACTCAGGGGAAGCGCACGGAAGGAGCTACAGGAGCGAGCGTTTTGGATCGCAGCGCAGGAGAACCGAAGCCAGAGCAGACGCCGGACGGAGACTGGACGGGTTCGAGGCTGCGCAGACACTCACGAGTGGCAAAGGAGCGGCGCGTCGGGCTGGACACCCCCCCCTTTTCTCCCTCTTCTGGAGCGGCTAAGCGGTGGGCCAAAGCAGCGGGACCAGCGGAGCCAAGGCGGCATACAACGCTGGAAATGAGATAAGTAAAGGGACGTATACAAATCCTCACGCTGTGATCTGAGCACTTTAAATAGTATTGGACAGCGTGTAATCCCCGGTCCTCCCCACAGCTGGACACAGGCCACAGACGCGCAGCGGACTGGGGTCAACAGGAGCAGACGCGGAGTAGAGACTGGAACAGCGGTGCGGGCAAGCCAAGGCGGCATACAACGCTGGGAATGAGATAAGTAAAGGGACGTATACGAATCCTCACACTACGATCTGAGCACTTCAAACAGTGTTGGACAGCGTGTAATCCCCGGTCCTCTCCACAGCTGGACACAGGCCACAGACGCGCAGCGGACTGGGGTCAACAGGAGCAGACGCGGAGTAGAGACTGGAACAGCGGTGCGGGCAAGCCAAGGCGGCATACAACGCTGGGAATGAGATAAGTAAAGGGACGTATACGAATCCTCACACTACGATCTGAGCACTTCAAACAGTGTTGGACAGCGTGTAATCCCCGGTCCTCTCCACAGCTGGACACAGGCCACAGACGCGCAGCGGACTGGGGTCAACAGGAGCAGACGCGGAGTAGAGACTGGAACAGCGGTGCGGGCAAGCCAAGGCGGCATACAACGCTGGGAATGAGATAAGTAAAGGGACGTATACGAATCCTCACACTACGATCTGAGCACTTCAAACAGTGTTGGACAGCGTGTAATCCCCGGTCCTCTCCACAGCTGGACACAGGCCACAGACGCGCAGCGGACTGGGGTCAACAGGAGCAGAGGCACACTACCGGGAGGACAGCTGGCCCGGGACAGTACAATCCAGGAGACTAAGGCTCTGGGGTTTTAGATTTTTTAGTACAGATTTTTAATCCGTAAGGCCCGGCTTTTTTTAACCGTATTTATTTTCTGTAAATAAATCTTATCCGATCAAGACTGTGTCGTCATTCAGCAGTGGGTTTTATCAAGCTGATCAAAGAACCTCACATTTGTGACATTTTATTTGGCGTTGTCTGACAGGATCAGCCCCACTGTTGAATGATGAATGTACAGCCTAGTACAAGCACGGCTCTTACAGCCCAGTTCACAATGCCCTGGTTCATGGGCGCAGCGTTCATCCCCAAATTCGATGGCGACAAAGCTAAATTTGTTGAATGGAAAGCGCAGGTGGAGGCTATGATTAGGGCCCAGGGTTTAAGCGATGTACAACAAGCTGATTTTGTCCTAGCCGCACTGGAAGGCGAAGCTAAACAAGAAATACAACTGGTAGACCCCAGAGACAAAAACACAGGAAAGAAAATGTTGGACTATTTACAAAAACTTTATTCTAAGCCAGCCACAAAATCACAATTGAGGACAAATTTCTACAATTGTCGACAACGAGCAGATGAGAATGTGAATTCATTCATCCTAAGACTGAGAGACCTGTTCAGCAAATGGAGTAACATTGACGATGTAGCAACTGGCGATAGAGATGAGTTGCTTTTAGAACAATTTACAACTGGGTTAAGAAAAGGGCCAGTGAAACAGGAATTGAACAGATTAATGAGACGGGATCCCATGGTATTTACGGAAGCCTGTAAAGAGGCCCGGGCCCTAGAAAAAGAACAGGATGAAGAAGGCGAGGACATATTGGCTCAGAGGGTTCGGACACACACCCACAATATAACGCCTAACCTTAACCCCAATGATTTAAAAGGACAGTTACATGCAGAGCTTAAAGAGGAGCTAATGGGAGAAATAAAAAAGGAAATTTTGGACCAGCTGAGGGCTTTGTCTACTAACTTGGTGGAAGAAGTAAAGGCCCAGCTCCGCAGCCCAACTTTGCCTCATGTCGAGAATGATACGCCCCCAGGTCAACACGATCAAAAACACCCAACTCGCCCGCAGGACATTCGCACTCCAGCTCGGGTTCGGCAGCCAGTCCATAGTGCCTACCAGTGGGATGACCAAGGACGGCCGATCTGTCGACACTGCGGGACGCCAGGACATTTTCAACGCAGATGCCCACACAAGTTTCCTCCGAACTCGGGTTTTTAGCTCCCCCTGCAGCTGAGGGCCAAGCAGTGGGGGCAATTTTATCAGAACCAGAGCCCACAACGCAGACCACAGCACTCAATCCCCGAACCTCCAACTGCAAGTCAGCCCTGGTCGGTGAGTGTTTAGACGTTGCTGTGAAACTCGACGGCATAACCATGCCTTTCGTGCTGGATACAGGGTCCCAGGTCACACTTTTAAGTCAAAGCTTGTTTGACAAACATTTGAAAAGGACTGGAGTAAAGAGTGCAAAGACTGTGCCGTGGCTAGCACTGCGAGCTGCTAATGGTCTGACAATACCATATGTTGGCTATGCCATGGTTGACTGTGTAGTGGGGAATATTCATGTGGCAGAGAAGGGGGTAATAATTGTGGAGGATGACTGTTTGGGCCCAGATAAGGGGATACTGGGGATGAATGTCATACAATCTGTCTGGTCTGCGCTCACCCAAGGGAACCATCCCGGCCTGTCAGCGTTCAGAACGCTTCTGCCACCTACTGAGGGAAAGGTCTGGGACCAGGCTTTCGCAGAGTGCCATCGTGTTGCCACAAGAAGCCCTACTCCCCTCTATGAAGGTACTGCTAAGCTAACTCGACAACCGCCGGTAGTTATCCCACCGCATTCTGAAATGGTCTTGTGGATGCATGTGACGGGAGATTCAGTCGGCCAACCACAGGTCCAGGTGGAACCCCTCCCAGGGGGCAGCTCAGAGTGGTATGTAGGACGCACCTTGGCTAGGCTTAGTAAGGGGCGGGTACCGTGCAGAGTGTGTAACCCTAACCCCTATCCGATAGAGGTTCCCCAGCGTCAGGCACTAGCCCAAGTTACTGAGGTCTCCACATCAGACATTAAAGGGGAACAAGAGCTGGTGCTAGATTGCATTGAACCAGACGTGGTGGAAGTGGGGGTTAGGAGAGTGGGGGTAGAAGACGAGGAAGAGCCCCATCCAGTCGTGTCCTTACAGGGAGAGGGCCTGACAGGGGAACAGCAGAAAAAAATGAACAGTCTTTTGGATCGGTGGAGGAGCGTGTTTTCCCAACACGAAGAGGACTTTGGCCGGACAAATGCTGTAAAACACCAAATCCCGACCGGCTCTGCCCCACCTAGCCGGGAGAGGTACAGACCTGTTCCACCTAGCCTCTATTCTGAGTTACAGATTTTGTTAAAGAATATGTTAGACAATGGGATTGTCCGGGAAAGTTCGAGCCCCTGGGCAGCCCCCATTGTGTTGGTGAGAAAGAAGGACGAGAGCTGGAGGTTCTGTGTAGACTACCGCAGATTAAATGCACTGACTCACAAAGATGCCTATCCCCTTCCCCGTATTGAAGAGTCCCTTACCGGATTAAAATCAGCAAAATGGTACTCCACTCTGGATCTGGCCAGCGGCTACTGGCAGGTTGAGATGGACCCTGACGATCGGGAGAAAACTGCCTTCACAACCCCTTTGGGCCTTTTTGAATTTGAGCGAATGCCCTTTGGGTTGTGTAATGCGCCGGCAACCTTCCAAAGGCTAATGCAAAGGTGCCTTGGGGACATGGTGAATGAATCATTGTTAATTTATCTGGATGACATTGTTGTGTTTTCTCCTACGTTTGACAGACACATACAGCACCTGGAGGAAGTTTTTGAACGGCTTCAGGAACACGGCCTAAAGCTCCAGCCCAAGAAGTGTATGTTGTTTCAGAGAAAAGTCACTTACCTCGGCCATGTCATCAGCGAAGAGGGCGTCGCCACCGACCCAGCGAAAACCGCAGCGGTTAAGGAGTGGCCTGTACCTCAAACGGTGAAGCAGGTAAAATCCTTCTTGGGCTTTGCGGGGTATTATAGACGCTTTATCCCAGGGTTCTCAAAGCTAGCGTTGCCCTTGAATGCTCTGACCCGAAACACTGCCAGTGAAAAGAGGACAGCCCCAGTCTGCTGGACCCTAGAGTGCCAGACAGCTTTTGACCAGTTAAAGACTGCACTGTTAAATGCCCCCATACTGGCTTATGCAGATTTCTCCCAGCCATTCAAATTGTACACTGATGCTAGTTTTGAGGGCTTGGGGGCAGTCTTAGCTCAGGTACAGGACGGCAAGGAGCGGGTGATTGCCTATGCAAGCCGCAGCCTGCAGCCAGCTGAGAGGAATGACCAAAATTATAGTTCCTTTAAGCTCGAACTTTTGGCTTTAAAGTGGGCGGTCACCGAAAAGTTTAAAGACTACCTGTATGGTGCAGAATTCACAGTTTTTACAGACAATAACCCTCTGGTACATTTGGAGACTGCTCAGCTGGGGGCAGTAGAACAGCGGTGGGCCGCCCAACTAGCTAATTTCCAGTACACTATAAAATACCGACCGGGGACGCAGAATCGAAATGCTGACGCGTTGTCAAGGTTGCCTCAGCTGGTCATGGCAAGAACGGACAATGTCAGCGTGGAAGACGGGGAGACTTGGCGAGAGCGCCAGGCCAAGGACCCAGAGCTCGTACAGATACGGCAGTGGAAGGAGCAAGGGACCACATGCCCAGAGGTACGTGACCCCTCGTTATACACAAGACGACTCTTGAGGGAGTGGGAAAATCTTACACTTCGGGACGGAGTACTTTGCCGCATGTGTGAAGAGACTGGCTCCGGGCTAACTATTTTCCAGTGTATTGTTCCCAGGCAAGAGGCGAAAGATCTTTGGCAGACCTACCACGAAAAGATGGGCCACCCAAACAACGACCGGACCGTGGCAGCCCTCAGGCAGCGCTGTTACTGGCCAAGAATGACTGAGGATGTCAAGGAATGGACTCTAGAATGCCCTCAGTGCATTTGTAGTAAGTCTGGCCCAGAAAGGAGGGCCCCGCTACAGTCAATCAACACCTCGTACCCATTCGAGGTGGTGGGACTGGACTATCTTTCCCTGGGCCGTCCAGAGGACAGGTATGCCTACATATTGGTTATGACTGACCTGTTTTCAAGATTTGCCATTGCAGTACCGACCAAAGATCAGTCTGCGGAAACCACGGTCAGAGCCCTCCATAACCACTGGATCCAAATGTTCGGCTGTCCAGAACGCATCTTGACGGACCGAGGGGCGGCTTTTGAATCCATGCTCTTTGGTCAACTGTGCGAGTTGTATGGGTGCCAGAAAAGCCGCACAACGGCTTACCACCCCCAAGGAAATGGGGCTTGCGAGCGATTCAATCAGACCCTATTGGGGCTATTGGGGTCGTTGGAAGAGAGCAGCCAGACTCAATGGCACGATAAGTTGCCTGCCCTACTCCAGGCTTATAATAACACGGTCCACAGCTCCACCGGATTCACACCCCACTATTTAGTCTTCGGAAGACATGCCAGGCTACCAGTGGACTGGGCGACTGGGCTACACCCGACCCAAGAGAACCACACCTTGGAAGGGTGGGTTAAGACTCATCGAAGGGCGCTAGACCATGCATATAAAGTAGCTAAGCAGAAAGCCCAACACCGACAGGAACAAGACCAAGCTTGTTACAATCGAAGAGCCCACACAGTGCCTTTTTTGCCAGGGGAAAGGGTGCTGATACGAAACTTTCGTAGACGGGCCAAGGGAAAGCTGGCGCCTAGGTGGAACCCAGTACCCTTTGTAGTGGTGGCTCCATTGGCAGAAAACCACCCAGTCTATATTGTGCGGCCTGAAGGTAAAGAAATGCCCACACGAACAATTCATTGTAATAATCTGCGCCCTTGTCCTATGAATTTGTTACAGCAGGACCCAGACCCACCCCCTGGGCCAGAGGCTGTGGCGGTTAGGTTAACCCCGCCGCCTCCCACCTGGTGGTTACCAGAATTGCCAAGACCAGCCCCCGCACCACCAGCCATCCAGATAGTGGAACCAGAGCCTCCACCTGTGCCTCCAGAACCCATGTTTCCGATAGTACGTCGTTCACAACGTGCTAACATTGGTAGACCGCCCGCCAGGTATTCAGATTGAGCATTGGCCGGGACGACCAATGGTAAAGGGGGGAGGAGTGTCAGTGGCATGGGTTTTCCGACCTTACATATAGTGCATGCAGTTTTGAGTTCTGTTTTTAGTGTGGGTTGCAGTGTTTTCTTTAAAAGACAATGTAGAGAGGAAGCCATGGACCACACCCCCACCACATGCCATTGGTGGTAATCAGCCAGGTTGATGACAAAACGGGAACAGGTGGGGAGAGACGACTGAAGGAGAGAAAAAGAAAGAAACGGAGACTCAGGGGAAGCGCACGGAAGGAGCTACAGGAGCGAGCGTTTTGGATCGCAGCGCAGGAGAACCGAAGCCAGAGCAGACGCCGGACGGAGACTGGACGGGTTCGAGGCTGCGCAGACACTCACGAGTGGCAAAGGAGCGGCGCGTCGGGCTGGACACCCCCCCCTTTTCTCCCTCTTCTGGAGCGGCTAAGCGGTGGGCCAAAGCAGCGGGACCAGCGGAGCCAAGGCGGCATACAACGCTGGAAATGAGATAAGTAAAGGGACGTATACGAATCCTCACGCTGTGATCTGAGCACTTTAAATAGTATTGGACAGCGTGTAATCCCCGGTCCTCCCCACAGCTGGACACAGGCCACAGACGCGCAGCGGACTGGGGTCAACAGGAGCAGACGCGGAGTAGAGACTGGAACAGCGGTGCGGGCAAGCCAAGGCGGCATACAACGCTGGGAATGAGATAAGTAAAGGGACGTATACGAATCCTCACACTACGATCTGAGCACTTCAAACAGTGTTGGACAGCGTGTAATCCCCGGTCCTCTCCACAGCTGGACACAGGCCACAGACGCGCAGCGGACTGGGGTCAACAGGAGCAGAGGCACACTACCGGGAGGACAGCTGGCCCGGGACAGTACAATCCAGGAGACTAAGGCTCTGGGGTTTTAGATTTTTTGTACAGATTTTTAATCCGTAAGGCCCGGCTTTTTTTAACCGTATTTATTTTCTGTAAATAAATCTTATCCGATCAAGACTGTGTCGTCATTCAGCAGTGGGTTTTATCAAGCTGATCAAAGAACCTCACATTTGTGACATCTGCTTGAAGGAAGCGGTACGGTCTCCACCAGACTTAAAACACTCTTCTTCAATTTAGCATATGGTTAGGTTGTTAGTCTCGTTTTGGAGTCTGCTTGTACGGGACCCGGTTCAGCAAGCCGCTGCATCTTTCAACCTTTATTACAAATTCGAACCTAACTTTATAACTATATATCGTGGATTACACACTTTCTTTGGTGCTGTAGCTTGGGCTAGCCTAGTCGTAGCTGCTTCTGTCACTCTTTTGGTCAGAGACGGTCTCTACATTCAAGGCTAGGCTTAAGACAGTCCTCTTCAGTTTAGCATATGGTTGGAAGGTTAGACACAAAGGAAAGGCTAAACATCTTAGATTGTCAGTCAAGCTGCGTAGAGAGTCAGTTTTCTGGGAGACGTATAGCATCTTGAGCTCTATCATCTCCTTCATACTTTATCTCTCTGCATTATTAGGATTTTTACTGTAGTCTGTTCATTGCTTTTCACCCGTTGTCCCATTGTCTGTTTCATGGCGTGACGAAAGGACCTCTGAACCTGGCCTCCTCCATCTACACCTGCGGACTGCCCTGCCCGACTTGCGTGAGAGTTGCTTCAGTCCTGCACCGGACCTGTCCACGTTCTGCGGCCGCTGCATGGCCTTGGTCCTCCTTCTGTAGCTTAGGTCCTGGATCTATGTCCCGTCCGTCCGTGGGAGCAGATCCCTCTCTCAATGAGGATCTCCCTGAGGTTTCTCACTTTTTTCCCATTGGGTTTTTGAGTTTTTCCTTGCAGATACAGGAGGGTTTGTTTGACTGTTAGTGTCTGACAAGAAGGACTGTGGTGATGATCCAGGACACTGGATTCCACAACATGTATGGACATTTATCAACATTCATGATATTGGTCTCCCCATATGGACCAATACATGTGTGTTCTATATTTTTTGTGTTTACTGTTGATTCTCTGATCTGTGTTGGTGATTTAAATGTTTTTGTTAAGTTAATATTTTGTTAATATTACAGACGACAGCTAATTCAACCGAACAGAAAGATATTTATCCACAACAATCAACAAAAGATGAACTGATGTTACTGTGTTGGTTTACAGTCTAACAGTATTAAAAATATTCTATAACTTTGTTCGAAGTAACAGGGTTCTGCGCACTTTGTGTCTAAAATGCTCCAAAAAAGCCAGCCTCAAATTGCAATAAGGATATAATTAAGGATATCTTAAGAGAAGATAAGAGAACCTCTATTTGTCCTATACAACACACAGAACAGTAGGAATAAACAATGCACTCAAACAAGATTTTAAAAAATGCAACAGAATAAATCAAATCTTCATGCTCAAGTCTTAGCTGCAAGTATAAAATTATGAACCTATAATTACTCCAAGAGAAAGGACCCTTATCCAATTCCCAACCCCCAAGCCAGAATTTACTGCCAACTCAAACGACTCAGCGGAGAAGATGCTAAAATTATGCACTGCATAGCACCATGACAACTTCATAAAAGCACTAAGTTCCCCTCTGCTGCCACCATGAGGTTATATAGATAAATATATAAGAATACAAATTACAAGTTTTTGCCAACCCTGTTTTGTTTGAACGTTCAAGGACGCCCAAATTGTGTTTAAAGTTATAACATCATTGGTGACATTGAAAGTTTGAAAGAGTTAATTCAGCTTCTAGTTACACAATGTCACAAAGCAGAAGTTCATTCAAAGAGCTTGTGTTGTCGTCTCAAGGAACCAGACAATTAACTTTTGTGTTTTCAGACACAAGCAACATGAAAATATGACACAGAATAAAATTGCGGTGTATGAAAGCTGAAACATCGTTCCAAGTAACTTTTGTAAGTCTCGAAAGTACTACTTCGTGTTAGTTTAGATACTTTCTCTATAATTCCTATACCACATGAAACAAAAACTGTCCCAAAGATCCACATCTGCTATGTCAGTACCAACTACATCTACTCTCACATCTACTCTCACATGAAAGTGGAGGTTACATTCAACACTCAGTATGCATGATGTTGGCCATAGGATATTCCTACAAAATTTGGCGAGTTTGTGAAAGATTCTCTTATTTCTTCTAATCACTATGAGAAAATGATCTGTGAAAAGATTTGGAATGTAATGTATTATGAGTGTATTGGTACTTACCATACAACTGAATTAGGACTCTACAACATGAACGCAAACTTTGAAGTACAGACACTTGATATTTTCCACTGACACTGGCACTCAGAAGAGCACAAGAAACCTTAAAACATGTTCACATCCCTTAATTTTGTGATTCTACTTGTTATACTCCACAAAGTGCAGTTAATAGAGAAGAAAATCACAAGGACCAAGCAAGGTGCAGAAAACTGTTGCTATGTCAACCAAGAATATAAAGAATAGAATAAAGAAAGAAAAACCGGTAAGAGAGGCTTTGCCTCATATCTTTAGACACTAGCGCCCTCTTAAGGCAGTAGAATGTTCATACGTAACCATTTTACTCAATGGCCTTTTATATTGGAAATAGAAGAGGAAATTGCTAAAATATGATTGAATATATATATAAATATATCTGAATTTACACAATTCTATGAATCCATTCAGATATATTCACACAACTTCCTCGAGTTTGCTTGATATAGAGCAAAACAAAATTTGAATAAAAAAACACTCCTTATGCTTTACCGTTCTCTAGTTTTACCTCATCTTTCATATTGTACTGAACTAGTATGGGGGAATAATTACAAACAAATGAATCACTTAATGATTCTTGAAAAGAA